TACCCCTTACCCCCCCCCTTCTTCAAGTGGAGGATGGAGCCCTTACCACTTACAAGTACCAAGCTTCTGGGGCAGTCAACCATGGAGGCACCCTGCACAAAACAGACAATACCATTCAGTCCAGCGTAGGGCAGTGTTTATGGTATGTAATTCAGAATAAATCTAATATAGATCAGAAGAAATTTGTTTAGAGTTACTTCTCATCAGATTCTCATGGGCAAGTGATTAAAAATACTCTGAGAAATGGTTTGCCTGAATTAACTTGGACAAATATTTTTTTAAACATGGAGGGCACCCAAGTTATTTTGGGCAAATCACAGAAGGGATCAAAGAAAAAGAAACTTTTTTAAATGACAAAAAAGATTTAAAAAAAAAAGATTTCAATATTGAACAAAAGAAAATCAATTGTATCCTAAAGTTAATATTTCATCTACCCAAACTCTCATTCCAATTTAATGGTCAGTTCCCATCACTTCATTTTAGGTAATTATGAAAAATATTAACAAGATAGACATTGCAAACTGTGTCTAAATTTCTTATACTTGGGACTGATAAAAAGTGTCTTCAGCCATAGTCCAACATACTAACCTCATTAGCAGCTTCTGTAAACTAAACAGGTTCTAATATATGTATAAAGACAAATCCCCCCCTCAAAAGATATCCCCCTCTAAGTAAATGTACAAATATCATTAATTTCCTCCAGCTTGACCCTCTCTGTGTTTGCTGAAATTTGGTTGGTTATTAGGTAGATATACAAAAATCAATATTGACAGAATTCAGATTTAAATATCCAACAATAGTAAAGCTGCACCCTCCTAAATGTATGGAGGTCAGTACTTTGTAGATTTCTCTATGTTATGTGCCATATTTAGGTTATCTATAAAAGGTGAAAGTTTGTATTGAACTGGTTAAAGTTTTCCCTATCGGCTGAGATAGCCCAAGTGATTGTAGTTCTGAAATAATTTTATGGTTTAGATCAAATATGTAGACTTAGCAGTTAATCAAATCCAAATATTTAACATTTATTTATTGAGTATATTTAGTGCAGAAATATAATAATGGAATATGAAAAAGCTTAAGTTTCATCGTATAAGTATAAGCTGTGAAAAAGAGAAATATATAACCTAACTTATTTTAGCTCATTTCCAAAAAAAAGCCTGATGTGGAAGGGGTTAAATTACCTGTTATAATTAGAGCTGGGTAATTAGTAATATTTGCTATCAATTAGTACACTGATCCTCAAACCATAGCACATAATTCCCCCTCCCCTCCAAAAAACAAAAAGTTGGTGGCAGGTGCTGCCACATAGTTGCATTCCCTCTAGTAAACAGCTCCAAATGATAAATAATTAAATAAATACAAAATGTTGGCAGCTGGTTGCCTTCTCTACAATTGTCAGTTCAAAATTAGTGATGGTAGCAAGTAGCCTTGCCATAAGAACTTTAAGGCTAAAATTGGACGGAATACAGATAACCCATTATTTACTGCTTAATAACATACAAACATAATAGTAATATTTTGATTACTTGCTTGAATAGTTGCAATAATATAAAAACTAGTAATAATTAGAAACTGTAATTTTGATTAGTTTGTTATTTTCATGACAGTTGATTTAATAGTAATATTGATTAATTGATTCTTGGAATAATATAAAATTGTAATAATAAAAAACAAACACTTATTTTTATCAGTTTAATTTTAATTTTGATTAATTGATTAGTATGCATAGGATTCATCAATGTCAAAGGTAATTGATTAAATTGCCTGGCTCTAGCTATAATAGGTAGTGACTGTTTAAATTAGGATTTATCATAACAAGGTGTATCATTGGTTTTTATATATGCATCTGTGTGACATTTCTGTTAAGTGTCAACATATATGTACAAGAAAAAGCATGAAATGAAATGCTGGTATCAATGTTGCAGATACCATCACTGATTTAGTTTTACTTCTGAAATAGTAACATTTACATATAACATTAACATGCGATCAATGTGCATTTTCCCAGCAAATAAATACTCTTGTAGTGAAAGAATTTGGTTGTTCACACTGTCTGTTATAACAAATCATGATATATATATATATATGTTGTGTTCACAATTTACATAACATGACATACTAACACTGTTTGGATACACAATTTAATGAGCAACTTTTCTGTGGATTTGTAGATTGAATGTATACTAATCTGTTTGCTTACTGTTTGTGATAACAATGTACTTAAAAGTTTAGAGGGAATGATAATAACATTCTACACAAAATTCAATTGGCTGTAAAACAATCCCAAACATTTTGTATCATGTTTAATGTTTATGGGCTAATGACAGTATGTTATCCTGTCATATTGTGAATAGTTTAATAATACATTAAAATGTATATTTTTATTAATTTCTGTGAACATTTTTAATAAATATTATCAATTTTGTTTATTTATTTTTTGACCTGACATAATCTGTGCTTCAGGTGGATGCTAAGCATAATATATGTGGGCTTGTTTACAAAATGTTTCTTTTTTGTGACTTTTATCTTCAAAATAAAAGTTATTTTAACTAAGCCAGGCAACAGATTATTTTATTATTCATATTTTAGCATTGTTGATATCTTATATTGAAGTACAATAAGACCTGAAACATGGAGTTATACAGTAAATAAGCTATATAGCTTTTGTGAGAATAAAAGAAGTGGATAAGTTGTCCATACCTCAATTAATATTCATATAATTCTATTTTATACAATTAGGATGTGGAAGATTTTGTTGACTACGATGATTTTAGTGAAGGAAAACAAGTCATTGTGGGAATTTGTGCCATGGCTAAGAAGTCGTACTCCAGACCAATGGGGGAGATACTAACTCGTTTGGAAGAGTTTGAATACATCCGTACAGTAATATTTCCCGAAGAAATTATTATAAATGTATGTTTTGCATGTGTTAATTTTAATTTTGTAAGATTATACCCAGTTCTTGATCAGGTATATTAACAGAAAACCCATTTTATTTGGAAGTTTTAGACAGAATGTACTGTTTCATTTAGAACAATTTTAACAAGCTTAATCCATCATTTGTAGTTGGGAGTGTTTTATACTTCCAAAGGTGGAAGATAGTTGTTACATTGTATGTGAGGTTATTTTTATGCATTGATATACAATTCAGTATAGGTTCAAATGAAATGCAGGATAATTGTAGATTATATTTGTTCATATATTTGTGTATGTTAAATCTAATATTCTTTTGGTAAAATATGAGCAGTTCAAATATCTGTACATAGCTGCTCAAGAGTGTAATATTCAAAATTTTGATTGTGATGTAAAAGCTTATACTTATGCAGTGATACATATTTCAAATGTTTTGGATACAATTCGAAAGTACTAGGTAAAAAACAGGGGGATTGAATTTGTTGTATATTTAGATAAAACACACCAACAATTTTCAGTTGTTTGTCCCCTCACCCCTCACAATGGCTCATTGGTAAGTCTGAGGGCTTACAGTGCTAAAACTTGGGTTTTGATACCTGTGGTGGGCAGAGCAGAGGTAGCTCAATATATAGCTCTGTGGTTACTAACAAAAAAAAAAACAAAAAGAAACACTTGTCATTTTGGTATTATTTTATCATGTAACCCAACCAAAAATGTTAATTTTTAAATCTGTTTTTATTTAGTTTCTTTTTTGAAAGATTTTTCATTGAATAATTTCAAATGTTGATGAAATGTTTTGGGAGAATTATTAAAGTATGTTTTTATCTGCAGGAACCAATAGAAAAATGGCCACTTTGTGATTGCTTAATTTCCTTTCATTCAAAGGGTTTTCCTCTTTCCAAAGTAATAGATTATGTGAAATTGAGAAACCCTTTCATCATCAATGACTTGTACATGCAGTTTGATATCCAAGATAGGTGAGTTGAAGAAAAAAAAAAGATTATGATCGTTAGTTCTCTTGACAGTAATATTTATGAAAAATTCACTTAATTCTAAAAGTTCTATATTTTATACATTCTTTCATAATTATCAGTGTATTACCATAGTTTCACTTGGATGTTCTGAAATTTTTGACAATGTCTTTAAAATTGTAAAGATTTTCTTTCTAAAATATCAAGTCAAAATATCAACTGAGGTTATACTTGAACTGTAAAAATATCTACTAATATATCAAGTGGTAATTTAGATGAAATTGCTACAATTAAAGGTATTCATAGTAATTTGTTGAATATGTCATTCTTCTTTATAGATAGTTTCATTAGTATAATTGGTTACAATGTTAAAAATACTATGAGTATTATTATTATCATTAATTTGACATTTAGATAATAGTACTCACCTTCCACCCTTCCACGTAATAACATGTAGTGTCCTAGTATATGATCCAATAAAGAATAGACTATACTCTCTACCAATAGGAGTGATATACAACCTCCTTGTGCAGTATTCCTTTCTAGCACTTTGTGTAAATCACAAGTTTCGGCTGCCAGTTGTTTCCTGTGTTTCATTCACGACAGTCAGTATTTTTAATTCAGGCCCTTCCATTTGGGTTACCTACAGCCCTGTATGTTTTCAACCGTGTTCTGATGGCTTTTACATGGAAGATACACTTTTTGGGTCTACACTTCCATTACTTCATTTGTGATTGGCTTCTCTTTGCCTGGCAAGCATCCTCTGCTGTGACTTCACTCTACTTTGAGAATCTGCTCATTTAGATTGACTATTAAAAGTTCTCAAAGTCATTATTGACCCCTACTTACTATCTCATTCATATGGGGACTCTCTCAAGTTGTTTGCTAGACAAACTCAGTTTTCTCCTTTACATCTCCAAAACATGGAACTTCTTAGCTATTAAAGTTCTCATATCTCATTCCCTTTCTGTGTGAGATGTTCTGTCTCTTTTGTGGACTCTATCCTCTCTCTCGCCCCTTAATTCTGTGGGACATGCCCAATTGCATTTCTTTAAGTTTACACTCTGACAGATCCACTGACTTCTCTTTTTTCTCTTCTTCCATCTCTTCACCTATCAAGAGGTTACATGGTCAGTCAAATTGACCAAGCTTGTGTTGAGAGAGTTAAACTACTTTCTTATCATGATATACAAATAACTTTGGCATAAAGATGTAGCTAATAATCCAAATTTTAATAGTATATAAGTTTTAAGTTCTTAATTTTATATAGCAATGTTAAAAAATATCCTGATTTTCCGGAGTATGAGAATTATGACATTCTCTATAGGCATTCCCTTTTCTCTAATTTATTTATCATTGGTCCAAGAAGTACAAAATTTAATGTAAATTAGTTATTATAATGTTGTCATTGCTCAGGCAAAGTATAATTCTTATAGCCTTCAGTTTTATTTGGTTACAGAACCATCAAACAGAAAACCAGACCACTCTTGCCCCACCCACCTGTCACATCCTCTCTTTCAGAAATTTCCAGTAGTTCTCTCTGATGTTTAATACTATATTATTTATCATCAATAGAGAGCCAAAGTTTTAATCTATCAAGTAATGTATTATATGATATTGTTTTCTGTACAGAAAATTCTCAATCATGCTTTTAGTTCAAACTTTATTCCCATGGGAAACACATTGACAAGCATAGCTGAATTTTTAACAGCTCTTGTCACACAGTTAGAAAGATAGAAAAATTGTGATAGTTCTACGACATTGTCTGTTTTTTGCATGTGATTATTCTGTGTTCTTTGGTGCCTTATTTAATTCAGTAAAAAATGATTTAGTACAGTAATACCATTAGTATAAAAAAGAAAGTAGGGTTAAGTGTCATAAACAGCCTAAGGCTTAAAAAACTCAGCTAAGTACTTTATTTTTTTGTTTTTCATGTTTATTCTATATATACTATTATAAATATAACTAAAATGTAAAAATTGGAAACTTTTTAGGTTAGATAAGGTAAAATAAAGAATAATAATAATAATTTTTCACTTGGTACATTCACAAGCATGTAATGAGCAGCTTGTGCATAAGGTAATTTGACAGCATAATGTGAGCTGCACATCCACCAAGTGGTTTACAACTTATACTGTTGTGAATATTAGTTAGGCATGGTTCATAGGGCAATAAAATAATAAAATTTAAGTACTAAGAGATTTATACTGTTAAAAGTTTAAAGCTATTTAGGATAAACAAATGTAGTTTTATGTTAGAATTTGAAGTTATTCTAGAAAGAAAAAAAAATGGTAATTTAGATTTATTTCAATTTTATTTTGGTAGTTACCAAGTCAGTCAAATTGACCAACCTTGTATAGAGTTAAAGTAGAGTAAATAACAGATAAAATATATAGTTTTACTGAAAAGAAAAAGTTTGAAATTTATTTAACACTTTCAATATGGGCTCAGTCAATTTGACCAACCACATGACTTTTTTGTACTCATTTGAAGTCTTTATAGATTTAATACTTATAACTCAATATGGTGGGTACATCTTCACGAAATTTGGCAGTCTTTCAGTTAATATTAGAAGTCTTTCACACACAAAAACTCCTATTTCTTAGTGAAGTATTTTTATAAAATAAAATAAAGATTTGTTCATGAATATATTGGGTATTTGTTTTGAATAGTCTGTGTGCAAAATAATGTTCACGTTAAAATTAAAAATACTTTTCCTCATCTCAAAAAATCTCAAATTTCCTTTCTGTGACCCAAAAACTTTCTAAATGCATTTCAAACGTTTTTTTTTTAAATTAAACTTTATAGTTTATCTGTTATTTTCTCTACCCTATCTCAAAATGGGATTGGTCAATTCGACCAACCTTGTAACCACCAAAAAAAATTGAAATAAATCTAAATTAACCTTTTTTCTTTCTAGAATGACTTCAAATTGTAACATGAAACTAAATTTGTTTATCCATCATATTTATAATTAAATTTTATTGTTTTATTGCCCTTTGAACCATGTCTAATTACTATCTGCGCTATTAGAAGTTGTAATTCACTCGGGGAATGTGCAGCTCACGTTACGCTATCGAATTACCCACGAGCTGTGCGCATGCATGCTTCTTGAATAATTTTTCTTATAATATTATTTATTTTAGCTAATCTAATCTAATCTTAACTAACCTAAAAGGATCCCTATTTTGACATTTTACTTACTTTATAATTACACATAAAGAATAAACATGAAAAACAAGAAATAAAATACTTAACCAATCTTCTTTTTTCTTGCCATTGATTGTCTAAGAGAGTGAACCCTAATTATTATATACTAATGATAGTAATGCATTTAATAATTTTTATTTGATTAAATAATGCACCAAACAATATAGACTAATAACATGCAAAAAGTAGACAAATTCAAAATTTTCCTGGCTTTCTAACTATGCAGCAAGAGCCATTTGAAATTCATCCAAGCTAGTCGTTAACTTTCCCACGGGAACAAAATTGCTACTCCGAGTGACATTGACGGTTATCTGTTCAAAACACAATGTTATACAATACGTCATTTGATAGGTGAAAACCTTGACTTTCTATTGGTTATAGGTAATATACAATGACATGTAAGAGAGAACTATCAATGAACTGTGAAAAAGAGGATGTGACATGTGGGTGTGGCAAGAGGGGTCTGGTTTTCTATTAGAAAACTCTGTAGCCAAAACAAATTGAAGACTATAAAAATTATGGTTTGTCTGAGCAATAATGATTTTATGGAGAGTAATTTACGTTTAATTTCATATATTTTTGAGAGATGATGGATAAAATAGGGATGATAACATATTGAGAGAAAATGTGTAATGTGGATCCCACTAGTGGAAATTCAGAATTTTTTTAAATATTGCCTTGTAGAATTAAGGAATTAAAACTTGTATACTATTAGAATATGGATTATGCTATTCTTATTGGTATAACATAAACAAAAAGTAGTATAATAAAATTTTGAATGTAAGACACTAAAACCTTGTGTCATGCTCAGTAAAGGGTACCATGGGCGATAGAATTAAGAGGTTTTAGAGATTACGCAAATGAAATTTGAGATGTTTGAGATGAAAAGAATATTTTTAATCTTAACATGAAAATCACATTGCACTTAGAGTAGAAGAAAAAAAGACTCAATACATTCACGGACAAATCTTGTAAAAATATTTTATTAAATAATCTGATTTTTTGTGTACAAAATACTTGTAATGTTTATTGAAAGTCTGCCAAATTTTGTGAAGACACACGTACTATATTTAAAATTATATTATGGAAACAAAAAGGAGTACAAAATGGTTATTAAGGTGGTCAATTCGACCAACCTCGTGGTGAGAGAGTTAAAGGCAATCAAAATCATCATTTTTTGCAATGGGACCCTCTATTTTGTGAAATTTATCTTCTTCCACTTTGGCTGAATGTGTAAAGCAACTCATCTTGTGTGCCTGTTTCTCTATGGGAAGTGACACTTTTCATCTCATTGATGTCACCTATACTCTCGCCTCTGATTGTCAACATACCCTGGTTGAAATTTTTGCAGTTGGAGATATGAATGACAGAAGACACCTTTGTGTCACATACTTGCATCACATTGTGGCTTTATCTCTTTCCAGTTCCCATCGTTTAATGTTCCAAGAGAGTTGTTAATAATTTCTTGACATTACAGGTTTGACTTTTACTCCTTACAGTGAATACTTCTTTGCCTAAAACACTGCACTGAGAAGGGGATAACAGAAAGTGTTAATCCCATCTGCCTCTACTCAGTGCCCACTGTTGAGATGATGTTTTCTGTCAAATTGCTTTGGCGGTATTGTACTTTATTAGTTCCATACTGTATGGGGAAAAAACAGAAGTGGCTAAACCACTCCACAACAAGATAGCTCCTGCTGTCCTTATTTGTAATAACCCATTGCACAGTCTCTCAGTGAGTAACCTTATGCAAATGAAAATATTCCTGTTCAGTCCATAATACCTCTCTGGTATTCTTCCCTATGTGAATTCCTCCATCCTGATCTGTTACAGTGGAGTATGGAAAACCCATTCTTTTCCAGTAACATGCTACTGGAGAGGTTTATATGGAGAATTCTGCTTTGGGTCAACATAATCCAATTGATATGGGACTGAGTAAGAACTGAGTAAGACAGTACTAAGAACCAGACCATTTCTAGTTGTGACCAGGCAAATGGATTTTGAGTTCTCTGATATGATTTATCCCTGAATCTGAATATTTTTGGAAGTTTCTTTTACGTATTTCTCACATACTGTATGACATATTGCCTTAGCCACACTTCTGTGGCCAGCTAACTCACTGGGAGTTGAGCAGCCTACACATTACACATACATTTACAACACTTTAATAAAGAGCAGGATATTTATTTGAATTAAAGTTTCTGAACCACCAATACTGGATGAAGAGTATTCCTGCTGGAGATGGATATGGTTACTCATCTAGTGTTGCTTTCACCCCCTAAGTAGGAGATAGATTCCATGTATTTTCTCTTTCTGTCACTGTAGTCTCAGAAAAGAGCACATCTTTTAAATGTATTTCTTTACATCGGCCCCTCCATCATCATTTCAGTATGGGAATCTAGCTAATTATTCCTATGAATATCCTCTTGTTTTACGTGTGAGATTTTTGGGAAGCTATGATGTGGCAAGTTCCTTTTCTTTAGACCTCTCTCACTGTTTTTTATCTGTTACTGTTTTTTTTACTGACCATATCTTTACATTGCTCTTCACATATGGAGCTCAGAACTAATTTACTTTGTTTTCATTTTTCCTTATTGTTCCCTTCTCATTCTTTTAATGGTTTCTTATTCACAAGTTGGGGATTCAGCCAATGTATTAGATCTTGCACTTCTCTTATCAGACCTTCCTAGATTATATTTTGGTCGTTTTTGAGTCTGAAACATTGAATCATATAGAAACTCTCTCTTTAGTGTTGCTCCATATGTGGATCAAACCATTCAGGAATGAAAAATTGACTTCCTGGTTTCTCTTGGGTTTCTGTCAGAATAATTTTTTGGACCCTTGTGCTTCAGTCATTTTTAAGGGGGATCTAGAATGTTTTTTAGATTGTCCGACCTCTTTTCTATATTCTCTGCTTCCTTTCATTCACTAGCAGACTAATTACAAGCTAGTCTTTTATATTAAGAGACTCTTTTAATTTTAGGTGAGAAGGTTTATACATTGCTTAAAATAATTAAGGGATAATTAGTTTTCTGTATTCTAGTTTTGACAAGGCACAACTAATGTTCTTAACAAATGTCAAAGACACACCTAAATTTATTTTTATGCAAAACAAGCACCACATGACTAGTTTTTTAAATTAGAGCTTAATAAAAACTACCAAGCATCTTTCTAGAGCATCCTAAAGATGTTCATTTGGATTTATATCCTGTGGGTGTTCTGGCCAGTCTTCTCCCAGGACATTTCTAACAACTTAAACATATGTGTATGTATTATTTATTAAAAGAAAGTTCTGACCAACTCCACATACATATGGCAACACTAATGGTTATGAGACTGCCAATTCTATTCTTCCAAAAAATTTCTAAATGTTTGAGCATGGGTGTGTGTATATTAGTCATTAGAAGAAACTTCTGACAAACTGCACATACTTATGGCAATATTCTTGGTTATAAGACTGCAAGCTATCTTTTTCCAGGAAATTTCTTACCACTTAAACATGAGTGTGTGTGTGTATTATCCATTAGAAGAAAGTTCTGACCAACACAATTGATTAAGACTGTATCCCCATAACCATAGAGCATTCTTAGTGCCATCTCATAGTGCACAGAGGTCAGTGTAGCCACCAGTATTTATCCCTGCCAAGACTATATGTGCATGTCTTTCCTTTGTAAAAATGGAGGTGAATCTGATTCCAACTGCAACAAATTTCTACTTGTCTCATATGTGGCTGTGGTTAGAATTTGTCTTTGAAGAAGACATCTGTCTAATGTTGTTTTACCAATCAAAATGTTCTTGACACAATTGAACATGCACCATTTCATGGCATTTGGTTAAAAAAAATGCTAACCATTGGTCATTTGGCATAAAGACCAATCTTGTCAAATAGCGATAACTTTGTGGGGTATTTGAAAGTGGTATTCTCTGTTTATCTCTCTGGCCATCTTTATTGGTGCTCTGGAAATGAGTCTTATAGCAGTACTGCAAAGGCTTGTTCTGTTTGACCACCTCAAACTGACCTATTGCTCTCCATGTCACCAAAATGTCCAAATATTTTTGTCAGGGTCCTGGCATGTTTCATTATTAATTTGGATTGCTTTACGCTTTGATATTGTTCAAACTGTTGAGAAACTCATTGTGTTTATCTCAGTTTTACAAAAAGCAATCTCTAGAAAATGGGAAATACACCACTGACTTAGCAATATTGATCAGTAACTTCATCAGCAAGTGAACATAATTGAGAACATGGTGGTTGTTTTAGAGTTTTCATAATTCTGTCTTCAGCAAAAAACTTCTAAAAGAATTACAAAATTTCTAGTCTTAGTTATATTGCCTAAAATCTGATTGTAAAAAGAGAGAGAGAGAGAAATGCAAGCTCAAATGGCAATAATATAATAGAGTATGTGTCATAGCCCTAACTTCCATGCATAAAATAGTCAATATTTGCTGTTGAAGACAGCTTTACCTGGTTATGCCTCTCATTATTTATACAGTGATTGATCTAGGCCAAGATATCTTGAGTGTCATTTTGGCCCCGTTACTAAATGTTTTTAGAACATTCTTCCTTTTTGAAAGGAAAGTCAGGTTGTAAATACAGTATTATGATTTATGTTATTAATATATTGTTTTGTCTCTTTGTGTTCTTCCTACTTTTTCTTTCAGATCTAAAATGAACGAAAGTCTTAGAAAAGTTAGTTCAGGATTTTTGAATTATAAAGGTTAACTGTTTTTTTGAAAAGCTCTTTGTCAGGTAGAATTGAAATAGTAAACTGAAGAACATGTTTGAAAGTAATGGAATGCAATTGTATGGGAAAACCACCAGATATAATGCACACTACAATATGAGAATAGTCTCAGTTATGGATATATTTGTTGGTATGGTGACATGTTGTAGTGGATATTCAACCACCAATCAGGTACAAATTGACTTGTCTGTTTAGCATGTTGAAATAATTTGTGCAATAAATATTATTTGGTTTTAATTACATGCTATGGGAACTTAGCTCTGCCAAAAGCACGGTATTTGGAGAAAGATGCAAGACTTTAACACTTGTTATTAAAATTAAGTTGTGAAAAATTGAAGCATACTTGGAAGACTGTAAATCATAAAAAAAAAGTCTTTTATTAGTGCTTTGTTCAATAATGCATGATCACTTATAATTTATTTTAATAACTACTTCATAGTATTTTTGTTTTGATTGAATGAATATTGTTTTTAATAACTTGTGTGTTACTGTTATTGCTGGAATGTTTTGTATAGCTATTTGTGTATTTTGTATAAAATATAATAAAATATTAGCTATTTAATTTTGGCGGAATTCACATTCATTTAGAATTGGTAAATAATATCCTTGAAAATGACAGATTATGTAAAAAGTCCTGGTATTTGTTCAGTAGGCTGTGCAAACCATGGTATGATGTATTTTGTGGTGCTTGTGATTAATTAGATAAGAATAATCAAGTTTGGTTATTCTGCAAAATACATTAGATATAATTATTTTATAGTCAGAATAATTTGAGATTTGCAGAACATTTTATGAGGAAGTGTACATATCATTGTTTTATATCTTCCTCTTTCCACAGACGTAAGGTTTACAGTATTATAGCTAAAGCAGGAATTGAGTTACCAAGGTTTGCAGTTCTTGATAGAGATTCTCCTAATTCAGCAGGTGAGTGTAAAAGACAAAATTTTGATTTACTGAATGATGTTTAATGCAACCATATTTTTAGTTGTTTTGACTACAGATTGAAAGCTATTGTTCCAGAGTTCATATTGAGTAGCTAAGGGAATTATTCTAAATTTCTTTTTTGTTAACGTATATTTTTATTTATTATTATAAAAGTAACAAAAGTGTAAAAATTAGGAACTTGTTAGGTTTAGACTAGATAAGGTTATGAAAAATAATTTCTCCACAAGATATGCTTATGAGTGGTTTATGTGCTAAGTCATTAAATATGGTAACTTGAGCTATGCGTTCAACAAGTGATTTACAGCTTATATCACAGGATTATTAGTTAGACATAGTTCAAAGGGTGGTAAAAAATTTTAAATTAAATAGAAACAGATGTAGACTGTTACAAGCTTTAAGCTGTTCAGGATAAAGAATTGTAGTTTTCTATTACAATCTGTGATCATTCTAGAAAGAAGAAAGATGGTAATTTAGATTTATTTTGTAATTGTTTTGTGGCAGTTAAATTGACCAAATCCACATAGAGCAAAGGTGGAGAAATAATAAATATAATATTAAATTTTACTGAAAAAAAAACGTTCGATATTAATTTGGAGGTTTTAGAGATTATGCAAATAAAATCTGATAACTGTAAGGTGAGTAAAAGTATTTTTTTATCTTTACATGAAAAATCACCTTGCACTCAGGCTATTGAACACTGACTCCTTATATTCTTGGACAAATCTTTGGTAAAGATACTTAATTAAAAAATCTGATTTTTTATGTACAAAGACTTGTAACATTTACTAAAAGCTTGCCCAATTTTGTGAAGATACTTTTACTATGCTAAGAGTTATATTATGGATACTTTCAGGTTACCTGGTGATTACAAGGTCGGTGAAACTGACTGAACCTATACGAAAAGAGTTAAAAAGTAGTACTACAATAGCTTGGGAAATGTCAGTAGATGTAGCACATAGTTTAATCTGAATTTTTCAGACTTTGGATGAGTTTGAAAAACAAACCACAGTGAAAATGAATATTCATTGACAAAAATAACACATCAGCTAGTGCTCTTAATGACAGTCAGTGCTTTGCAGGCATAAGACTTGTAACTTGTTGGATGGACTTCTTAAACTTTTCTAGATTTTTTTCAGAGTAAGAGAAGTAAACATTTTATGTATGATTCTGTAATACCATCCATCATCCACAATACACATCCATTATTTATGTTACTGATGGTCATTTCAATAGCAAAATAAGGGAAGGTATAACCTCAACGTATCACCTGACCTATCAGTGGAAAACATCAAAGTCTACTATCCAACAGTCTTTCCCATGAGAAAATTCATGTGCACCCCAGGGGATGACCTTGTGATAAAAACTACATAGATATTTAGAAACATGTATGTTTGAAAAAGTTTAAAAATTGTATGTGAACATGAAACATTCATCTTACTAAAGAAGATGTAATGTGTTATGAATTCCACGGTGTCTCACAAACCAAACCAATGACAACACAATTGATCTTTAACTTTATATGCACAAGTTGTTCCACTGGATTGACATCATATCAGAGAAGTAATGTTTGCTACAATTCTGAATTTGCTATGTATATATTCACAAAATTTGGCAAGCTTTTAGTAAATGAGAAAAGTCTATTGTACAAAAAAAAATCAGAATTTTCAATAAGGTATTTTACTAAAGATTTGTCTGACTCTGACGTGTCTGAGTGCAGAGTGATTTTTCATGTTAAGAATTAAAATACCTGTTTTCATCTTACAGTTTTCATGTTTCATTTATTTAACCTCTATTACCCCCTAAATGAATATCAAAAGTGTTTTTGGTAAAACTTTTTATTTTATCCGTTTTTTATGTACCATAACTTTAACTATAGCAAAATAATAAATCGTGATCAATGTACAGTGAAATGAAAAGTTGAAAATATGAAGTAGAATTGAACAAGACTTTTTTTTTATTTCTTTTGTATGTATAATTTACCTTGTTTCATGTAGTTTTTATATTCACAGTTTTAACCTTTTCACATCTATTTTCTGTAAATTTATAGTTTTTTTGTACTTCACACCTACTTGAGCACTAATCCTTTTGTCAAAAAGAATAAACACAGCTGAAATTTATTAGCTATGGGTTGTAAACAGCAGGAGCATAGTACGTGACCAGTGTGGTCTTTGTGAGTGCAAACCATAACTGTGTTAGGCTTCACTATTTTTCAGTTAGTTAGTTCTTGAAATAAAATTTGTTAGAGCAATCAAATATGTATTTCAGAACACAAAGCATATATTAGGTAATAAAATAGAATATCCTATAACAACTGTAATTTAACTGGCTTTTTAACTAAACAATAAATAGGTTAAAAAAATACATTTTCCTGCTCATAGCAGAAAAACACAATTTCATAAAAATAAACTAAGGCTAAGTAACTAATTATGAGCCTCAGCACAAACTAGCTTCCGTACAAATCTTCCAAAGAACAATTTGCTCTTTCTATTGGTTATAAATTATCCAACAGCAAGTGTCAGAGAGAACTACTGACATTTTTGAAATACAGGAGAAGATAGGAAAGACTTTGCTTGTTGTTTTGACGATTTTTCTAATATATCACAAAAGCAGTAAATTTGGAGACTAGATTTTTATATTCTAGTTTGCTTGTATGCACGAGAGTAATTGTACTATAATTTTTGATAATGTATGCCTATCTTTACAAAATCTTGAAAATTATTAGTAAACATTAAAAGGCTTTCATGCATAAAATATCAGGTTTTTAAATTAAGTACTAAGATTTTTTTATTAAAGATTTGCTCATTAATTTTTTTCTTTCAGAATGTTGACTATCCAACATGCAAAGTAATTTTGATTTTAAGGTTAGAAATACTTTTCTTTATCTGAAATTGGTCAAGTTTCATTTGCATAATCTCTATATCCTTCTAGATAATTATCAAAAGTTTTTTGAATAAGACTTAATATTTAATCTGTTATTTTATCAGTATTATCACTATATGGTGTTAGTTGATTTGACTGACCAAGTAACCATCATAAAAATTAGGAAATAAATCTAAGTTACTTTTTTTTTTGTTCTAGAATAACTGCAAATAGTAACGGGAAACCACAAATGTATATTCTAAACAGCTTAAATCTCTTAACATCTTTTCACATTTATTTTCTGTAGTTATTTTATTGCTATCAGATGGCTTAGAAACTAGAAGAAACAAAATGAATTGTACTGTCTGTCTTTTTCAGTATGGACAACGAAGTTCCAAAGTAAATCTTCTGAGAGTTTCTTCTAATCATTTTACAACTATTTCCTATGTTTATTCTACTGTTAGCAGCTGAAGCAGAAGCCTGCTGAATATAAAGCAATAAATCACCTGTTCAGGTGTTACCATATTTTGAGTACTTTGACACTGTCAATATCAAACAAGATTTTGTGGCACAACTCCTAGAATTTTTCCTGCTTTGAAAACACAGTGGGGTATGCTTTAACATCTTGTTGACAGTATAATGGTTACAATGAGAATTGTCTAAAATATTATAAAATGCTTATGCTGTGGCTTTGTAGAAATCTGGACTGATCCAATAAACTTGGTAGGCATTTGAATGCTGGTCGATAAGCAGACATTTCTTTCAGAGTCTATTCAAAATCTGGCTCTCAAAACACAGTGATGATATAGGTGTGAAAGTGCTTATGACCATCCTGTTTCTTATTTTACCATTTTTACACAGTAACCAATAAATCAGTAGTTTCCAGTATTTTTTAAGGTACAATGAGGTTTACATTACCATACATTACATATGTGTGTGTGTGTGTGTGTATATATATATACACAGCATGGTCATAAGTAAACAGACACCACCTCTTCAGAAAAAATGAAATTTTTCAGTCATATTCACAAGAATTGATATATCTATAATTTAATTTATATCTAGTAGATCTTCCTTTTGCTTCGTGGAGTTTGTTGATACTTTGGGGCATCGTGAGAATCATCTCGTCAATTTTAGATTGTAGGATTTTTGCCCACTCTTGCTTCAAAACTTGGAGTAGATTGCTCTTCGAAGTTGGTTTTTGGTTGTTTCTTGACTTGCCGGTCGAGTATGGCCCAGACGTTTTCGATGAAGTTCATATCAGAAGATTGGCTCAGCCAGAGCAACTTCTGGATATGCTACAACATGCCCAGAACTCAAGGTTCTCTCGAATTGTCAGATTTTGTTAGAGAAAGGATAGTTGGTCAAGCAGATGGTGGAATAAGTCAGCAGCAAATTTCGCAGAATTTGGGAATCCCGCTTTCGACAGTCAACAGAATCATAGTGCAGTTCAGGAAACACGGCAAGGAAACAACCGAGCAGCGTCCAGGTCCATCAGATAGGACAAAAAGGGCTGTCAAGAGGAGCATCGAAATGGATCCCAGATTAACGACTGTAGAAGTGGCCAAAGATGGTGGGATGAGCCCGAAATCTTTTCAACGGATTCTCCACAGATTAGGTTATCTTTGCAGAGCAGCTAGACGGAAGCCCTTATTAAGACCTGCCAACATAGTCAGACGAAAGAAGTGGGCAAGTGATATGATGACCAACCCTCTGGACTTTTGGAAGACCGTATTGTTCTCAGACTAATCAAGATTCGCTCAATTTTCGGACAGTGGAAGGATATGGGTCTGGAGAATGCCTCCCCAAGAGTTTTGGCTCAACAGACTGCAGCCAACTGTGGAGCATGGTGGTTTCAGCGTGATGGTTTGGGGAGCTGTTTGGGTTGGTGGGAGATCGAGCTTAGTGGAGTGCGTTGGCAACATACATTTTGCGAAATACGTCCAAATATTGGAGGAAGGACTCTTGCCACTTTACTCCTCGTATTTCGTGAGCAAAAACACAACGTTGTTCCAGGAAGATGGAGCACCGTGTCACACTGCTAGAAACACCCAAAAGTGGCAGGAAGAAAATGGTAAGATAATTAGTGTGCGGACCATTTTCATTTATATAGTGCTCTG